CAAATGGCAAATTAGAGTATGTCAATACAAAAAAGTTTACCTAGAATGCTGTTTGTTGCTTAAAAAAGAACCCATAAAAATACATATGTTACTATTCCTTATTGTATTCTCTTAGGGTGTGGAGATAACTACTATATTCCTTAGCACATTCAGAAAGAAGAGGTCACGTAGGAGCAGAAGACAAATTAAAACACCCAATTTTCAAGTGTCTAATCTTGCAATTTAACTCTGTATTTTCAATGTGGTCTTTGTATCCAATTTCCTAAGGTTTTGTTGTTTGTTTTTTTTTAAAGAAAAAACCCACAACATTTTGGTGTACAAATGTGGCAAATTCCCAAACCAGGAGATATGCTTAGAATTTAAACTCCAGTGTTTCTTTACAGCTGGAACTACAAGACAACTGGAAGAATGGATGGCAAGCTGGCCCTTAAGTATTTTGCTGAAGCTCAGGACTCCAGCTTGTTTTAGAAAAGCAAAATATTTTACTCCAGACTATAACCTCAAAGAAAATTTGATAAGGGAACCCCTGTTTAACCTTCTCCATCCACTTTTCCCCACACAATGGCTCCAGTTCCCTCAGTCTGTAACATGGTACACATTTAGTTATCCTTCTAAAGCATTAACAAACTTTTCTTTGCAATAAAAGAAAGACAGAAGCGGCAATTTGAAAAAAATATGTTGCTTCAGAGAACACAACAATTTAAGAAGTAGCTCCATCTAAATCAAGGTAGACACAGAACAAAACTGCAGAAAACTGTAAAAGTACTCCATAGAAAGCAAATGTCCAGTCTCTTGTAGAAGCTGCTTTACAATAGCAGCAAAACAGAGAAAACAAATTATTCATTCTGACAGAGACGTGTAGAATTGAACGTATACCTGGAGACCCAGAAAAGACTGTAGTAGGTTGACCGTGGTTGGATACCAGGCACCCACCAAAGCTGCTCTATCAGTCCCCTCCACAGGTGGACAGGGGAGAAAAAATACAGTGAAAGGTTCATGAGTTAAGGACTCGGCAAGATCACTCACCAAATACCGTCACAGGAAAAACAAACTCAAATTGGGGATATTAACCGAATTTTATTACCAACAAAATCAGAGCAGGATAATGAGAAATAAAATAAACACTAAAAAGCATCTTCCCCCAGCCCCCCATTCAGTTCTGAGTTCTACCTCCTTCCCCTGAGCAGTGCAGGGAGGTGGGGAGTGGGGGTTATGGTCAGTTCATCACAGGTTGTTTCTACCGCTGCTCATGGAGAGGAGTCCTTCCCCTGCTCCAAGGTGGGGTCCTTCCCACAGAAGACAATTCTCCACAAACTTCTCCAATGCGAGTCCACCCCACCGGCAACATTCTTCACTAACTGCTGCAACGTGGGTCACTCTTCCATGAGGTGCAGTCCTTCAGGCACAGCCTGCTCCACACTGGGTCCCCCACAGGGCCACAAGTCCTACTAGGAAAACATGCTCCAGCGTGGGCTCCTCTCCACAGGTTTGCAGATCCCTGCCAGGATTGATCCTCCCAGCATGGATTTCCCATGGATTCACAGCCCTCTTTCAGGCATTCACCTGCTCCAGCATGGATCTCCTCTAGAGGCTGCAGGTGAATCTCTACACCCCTACTGACCTCCATGGTCTACAAGGGCACAGCTGTTTCACCATGGTCTTCATCACAGGGGAACCTCAGCTCTGGAGTCTGGAGCACTCCTCCCCCTCCTTCTCCACTGACCTTGGTGTCTGCAGAGTTGTTCCTCACATATTCTCACTCTGCTCTTCTCTGGTTGCAATTGCAACTGTGCAGTAACTTTTTTTTCCTTCTTAAATATGTTATCCCAGATACCTGCTCTGATTGGTTCAGCCTTGGCCTGCGGCAGATCCATCCTGGAACTACCTGATATTGGCTCTGCCAGACATGGGGGAAGCTTCTGGTAGCTTCTCACAGGAGCCACCCATGCTACCAAAACCCAGCCACCCAAACCCAATACACCTGTGAGATCATAAGAATCAGACGAGAGCCTCTCCAGATAGAGCTGAAAGTAGGCTGGGATATTAATCAAATCTATGAGCTGTAGAAACCAGAAGCTATGGTAGGGAAGTTCTTTGTATCAGATTGATATATAGTTGTGTCATCTCAGTTTTATTAAAGGCAACACCAACATCTGATGTTCCCAGAATCCCGTTCACTGCAGTTCTGTGCTTATATCTCAAAAAAAAAGTAGTGAAAGGTAAGTTTCACATGGTAATGAGATTTTAATAAATGACTTCAATGTTAGAAAATCTGCAAGTTTCACCCAAGAATTCCTCCAGGAAAATCCAGGAAAAATTTAGGTTAAAATAATGTAATATTAAGAGCTAATTTTGAAGCATGTGAGTCTAGTCTTTATGACCATTTGAGAGAGATCTGGCACTTTCAGATGGTCATTAATTTCATTCTAAATAAATCTTCTATCCTCTTTTATCATACTCTGGAAACACCCATTTCTTTTCACTGACTCTGAATGAAGTTTGGCATCATTCTCCTAAATCTTAAAAAATTAATACCTGAGTAGCTCAAAATCCCCCTAGATATGAAAAGATCAATAATCTCAGGTTAAATAAAAAACATTATTACTTTTTAATCAACTCTTGTGTTTTCCAAATTATTAGAATCAGGAACACAGTGTATAGTAAATTTTTTGTCACCTTCCTACAGAACATAGGATTCATTTCACAATTTTCTAACAAAGACTTTTGTCCGTTAATAATAAAAACTGTTTGCCTGCTTTCAGGAAGCACGGGTTCCATACATAAAGTCTGAAGAATACATCCTACCAAACCATAACACTTTAGAAGCAGACCAAATTACTAAATGCTGCATAGATCATTCTCTCAATGTTTTTTGAACAGAAAATATTTATGTAGCAATTAAGGGCATTAAGATTTTAATTTGTAGTAACTGTCCAGCCAATACCAAGTAACTCAACTGGAAATAACACAGTAAGTCACAGTGCCCCAAATCTCAATGTCAATCAATAAGTGACCAAAGTAGAAACTGTTTGTACCTCACTGCTGGAACGCTGGGCACAGATGCCCACTCTATGATGTTTGTATGCACACTGTACACTGAGCTCTGGAAAGAATGTCACGTGTGGAGTAATGATATGCCACCCTTATTAAAATATTTCAGTCAAACAAGAACAGCAGCATGGTAGTATATCTATCACTGACAAGTATATATAGCACCTGCTGGAGCTAGAGAGCTCCAGAATCCCTCTCTGTGCACTGGGGTAAAAGGAAAAAAGTACAAAGCAATCTCTGTAACAGCAGGGCCCAGGCACCATTATGAAGTAACTATGGCAGTACAAAGTATGCTGTAGCAGAAACCATAAGCATGCAGATAAGCTCAAAAAATGAGCAATCAATTGTCTTAACACCATCACAGAAAAAGTAACGTCAAGGTTAATAATATTTCTTAAATACACAGAATAAGTTAAATCTAAATTCTAACCAAAAGTGAGAGACAGTTGACAGGAAGATAAAAATTCTGCTCAGGTAATTAAGGATATAGAACTGTTGTCATACACTGTATTACTATTGTAACAAAACAAAAAGGTCACCATGAAGAAGTTCATAATGCTACAATTACAGTGTAGACAAAATATTAAATAAAATTTTGTCAGAGAAAATAGACCTTCAAATTAATTTCAGCTTTAGTCGCTGATTAACAACAGGATGACTCACACTTAAAAATACCAGTCAACTACAGAGCTATAGACAGTCCAACATTTTGAGCGGGTACATTATAATGAAGGTTAGAAGAATTGCTTAATATGTAGAATACTCTTTCTTATTAGCAAACTCATTTGTTCAGTTACTCCAATTTTAGCACCTGGGTTCAATTTTCCATGCTGAGTATCTGAATTAGATTTCCCAGGGAGTATTTTAATCTTTACATTTTGGAAACACTTGTTTCTGAAAATAAGTCTTACCACATTTAAAAAATTACTATAGCCTCCTCTTTCAGAGTAACCATTTACATCCTACAAAAATCCACTCTCAAGCTGAATTAAATTGCATTTATCATAGAATCACAGAATGATTTGGGTTGGAAGGGACCTTAAAGATCACCTAGTTCCATTCCCCCTGCCATGGGCACCTTTCACTAGACCAGGTTGCTCAAAGCCCCATCCAACTTGGCCTTGAACACTTCCAGGGGCAGCCCCAACTTCTCTGGGCAACCTGTTTCAGGGCCTTACCACCCTCACAGTAATGATTAAATTTACATTCCCTCTCCCCATGCTTCCATGCTCTACTCATAGAATATGCTGAGTTGGAAGGGACCCATCAAGATCATCAAGTCCAATTCCTGGCCCTACACAGGACAGCCACAAGAATCACAGCATGTGCCTGAGACTATTGTCCCAAGGCTTTTTGAACTCTGTCAGGCTTGGTGGTGTGACCACTTCCCTGGGGAGCCTGTTCCAGTGCCCGACCACCCTCTGGATGAAAAACTTCTTCCTGATATCCAACCTAAATCTCCCCTGACTCATCTTCATGCCATTTCCTTAAGTGCTGTCACTGGTCACGAGAATCAAGAGATCAGTAGTTGCCCCCTGCTCCCCCTCATGAGGATGTTGAAGACTGTGATAAGGTCTCCCCTCAGTTTCCTCTTCACAATCCTCTGATCCAATGTTCTACAAACATTTCTTCACTCTACTAAAAAGTCTTCCACTTTCTGACTTTACTGGGGCATGAAATTCATAGAAATTGCCTACCTCTGTTGGGGGTGAAGAGGGGTGGAAGACTTACCGTAAATAATGATTTTAAAAAAAAAATGTTTTAACATTTCTTTCCTATGACATGTGTGCAGATATTTAAAGTTATATACTCTACTAAATTGTAATAATCCTGAATTTTCTAAAGGCTCAAATTTAAAGCTTGTTCAATATGACATCTATAACCATTCATGTCCCCCACAATAATAATTTTTAATATTATTATATGAAGAAAAAAGTCTTTGTACTTACTCGGAAGTAGTCACTGCAGGCTGCCAGGACTGCTTTATGTGCATGAAATTTCTGCTCTTCAGCAATAAGAGTAATATCACAAAGTATGCCATCACTTCTTTGTTGGTTCAGGGCTGCCAGGACAGCATCATTATGGGAGCTGGACTGACAAAGCCTCTGACCTGTCAGCATTTCCTGAACACTGAGAGGGGAAAGGGAAAAGATTCTGTCAAAAAAATGCAGGAAACAAGCATATGCTGTCAAAAATACAGAACAACTTTTTCTAAGGCAAGATTGTTTGATAATTCTTGGAAACAAAAAAAAGTCATGACCCCTGTCAGGCAAAAAATCTTAATATAGCATAGACATCACAAGAAAAGCTCAGTATAACAAAGTATTATGAAACCTGATTACATACTCATATTTAAAAACCTCAGCGATTCTGATTTTCATTTGCTGTACTGGAAGTCAGTTGAACTCACATGATTAATTCAGAATCATTTCAGAATCAAATGAGAATAATAAAGGTCCTAGGTTAAGGGATTGCAGAAAATTTTAAGTGGTTCCAACTGATGCATCAGTGGAAAGGAGGATGCAATCAGTTCTACCAAAAAGAATGAAGGATCATGGTCTCAGGTGGCCTGTTTAAGACTAATACTGTGCCACTGAATGTTTTCAGACCATTTCAAGTTATTCATATTTATGAAGTGTTGTGGGAGTTTTTTGATTGCCTGGTTTGTGTTGGGGGTAGGGGAAAGACGTCTGCTTGTTTTAAAATGCTAAGGCTTTCTCCACCTCTGAATATCTCCATGTATGAATAAAAGATTTGCACATAATCCAGTCTAAGACTGTTTGATGGCAGCTTCCTTTTCTGCAGCAGCAGAAGAGACAACGTAACTGTTGATGTAAATAGAACCAAATCAAACATATTGGCAAATCCTCTTTGGCACCAAACAATGCAATTGATTTGAAATCTGTGAGACTACCAGTTTATATTGCCAGAGAATTTATGTGTTTATAGAAGGTGAATTTACAAAGAGTCATTTTGTTGTATATCAAAGTGAAGATATAAATTATTTTTTTTTTATTAAGGGGTGAGTAACCTATCAACTTTCCACTACAATCATGTAATTCACTGTACACATATGCTATGCAGCAGCTGTGTGGCTGCTATATTCTCCTTTGTTATCCATACACACTCTCTGCCCATCCCGCTCCCACACCTTGGGCATCTCTAAACTACTGCAGCCCTGCCTTGCAGACTGTTTGCTCTAATCCAACCTACTTTTTAAAAAAGACGACAACTAAGACATTACTTCCAGAAGAAGGCTGGCCAAAGTGGAATAGCCTGTACCTGAACTTCAACCCCTCTTTGATAGTTTAGGTTTCATGTATGGACATGTCCTAAATACATTTAAAAATTACTCATTCAAATTATTCTTTTTTGTTCAGCTGTTCTGTTTGTTGAACCCAATTCATATTCTAAATGACAGTTATCAAGAAATCTAACTTGCTAAAATACAATGGAATTATTTCTAACTGTTATTTCTCTTGTCATTTCTATAGCAAAGTGACTAAATCAAACCAGTGCAAGTATAATATGCTAATTATACCCAGAGATGGCTTCTTTTTATTTCTGTTTTTATTAGCCTCTCTCCCAGTGCTGTGAAGCAAGACCTTTGTTCCTCTCGCTTTTTTCACCATCATCAAGAGGACTATTTCACTCAACGGAAAACACCTGTGGTTTTAAACTGAGCTCTATCATAATCCATTTTTCAATTCAATGCCAAAATGAAAAATCAATTGCCTGTAATCCTTGTGTTAAAAACATATGAAACATATGCATGCAAGGCAATTTAATGGAATTTATGAATGAAAATACATAGAATCATTAAACACAACATGACGACTTTGTAGTGATATTATCAGTTGACGGATTCAACAGCTATAAATGCAAGGAAGTCCTGTTTCTCTTCAACTGCAGAAACATGGCATGGGGAAGGGGAATAGAACTGAAATGATATGGTGTTCCAGTAGTATCAGGTAGTTCTCTGAGGTCCCAGATCAGTGTTAGCTACTCTGTAAAACAGAACCACTAGCATATCCCACTACTACAAAGTTCTGCAGAAAAACAATTAAGTTAATAAGTTCTGCAGAGTGTTCTGCCTGAAAGTGTTTCCAGAAAGTAATTAAATTATAAATAACAAATACTCTTTTGTGACAATGGGCAATACAAATGAGAACAGCTACACTGGGAAAGCGACAGAAGGGAAGGTAGAAAGATAAGTTTGGAGAGAATGCTTTGAAGACATTTTAAACAACTGGAAGAGTAATATACATCCTGAACAGTGGAACACTACACACCCCCAAAATTGTCACCAGCCACCAATTCGGATGCATAAATATAAAATGCAAGTTGATTCCACAATCAAAAACTCCAAGTATAAACTAAGGCATAAACAACATAACACATGAAGAGGCCGTGGGTCCCCAGTCAATCCCAGGCACACTTCTCTCTACTAGAGATAAGTGGTAACAAGAGAGTAATATTTTGCAGATTATAACATGTATTTAATAAAGTGAATTCCTATCTAATGAACAAAAGTATTAGTTTCACTTTTTTCTACTTTCTTAACTGATGCTTTAGCAAACATCCTCCTAAATGTTAATACTTCCTACACACTACCAAGTACTATACCTCAGGCACCTCTCAGATGGCATCTTTCAGTTTGGTCTTCTGAATATCAAAGCTTATAACCCTGTAGGAAAAGCAGCAAACATTCCAGCTAGAAAGAGAGAACAGAGAGGAAAGTTAAAATTCGAAGCATACACAGCCTCAGCCTTAAAGATCAATACTTTTAGGATATGTAATTCAAAAGCAACTTTCAGACTGTATTCAACTCTGGCCAATGAAAGTGGCCTTTCCTCTAGTCTTCTCTAGAAATTCACACCCTACCATCTGAATGTCCTGCACCTACTGCCCTTGAGGTATGCTTTCTACAAACACAGGAACACATATAATTTCAAAAAACTGAAGAGAGGTGAGGAGGGAAATAACTGTCCCAAAAATCCCTCAATGAAGAGTAGGCCAAACGTATGTATTAGTGTTTGCTTACTTCCCTGAATAACATCCAGCTATAAAAATCCTACATCTCTCACAGGCAAGGGTCTAAGAGGTTTGCAATACACCTAAGTTCATGCTTTCATGATGTTATCTTTTCCTAAAGACACAATCTGGTAGGGGAGGGGGGATAGGTTTACTGCATCCCAAAGTCGAAGTTTCACTCTCCTCAGAGCAACATACTTGACTGATTAATCAGTGTTATGACCAAACGCCACTGTCAACCTGGATGAAGGACAATGAAACTGGTGAAGGGTCTGGAGCACAAGTCTTATGAGGAGCAGCTGAGGCTGTGGTCATTTCGCCTGGAGAAAAGAAGGCTCAGGGGAGAACTTATTGCTCTCTACGGTCTACCTGAAAGGAGTTTGTAGCCATGTGGGTCAGCCTCTTCTCCCAAGTAACAAAACATAGGATAGGAGGAAGTGGTCTCAAGCTGCACCAGGGGAGGTTTATTTCAGGTATTAGGAAAAATTTCTTCACTGCAACGGTTGTCAAGCATTGGAACAGGCTGTCCAGGGAAGTGGTTGAGGTGTACATTTGGCACTTAGGGACATGGTTTAATGGTGGACTGGACAGTGCTGGGTTAATGCATCAGTGATCTTAAGGGTCTTCTCCAACCTAAATTATTCCATGATGCTATAAACATTCTGGAAAATACAAACAGTACAGTGCAATGAGATTTATAAACTCCATAGCTTTTTTAAAAAGGCAAAATATTAAATTGACCATATAAATAAACCCCAAACAGCTGAAGTGTCCAAAGACCTAAGCTGTTGAAAACAGGGTTATACAGAAAATTTTTAACTGGTGTAGCAGTCATCATAGCTGAAAAGACATTTCAGCTTCATATGTCAAGTCTAAAAGAAAAATATATTTTAATAGAATAGTCAAAAAAGAAAACTACACTACTTTGGCTGCTTATTTAAACCATATGTGGATCATTTAATGTAACTCAGTGACAACGCAATATTACCATTCAGCAAAATTTGAAGAATGGAAACATTTCTGTATTTTTCTCCCTTTTCCAAAAAGGCTATAATTCTGAGCAAAGGGGGTGACGTCATAGAGAACTTACACTGATGACTCAGCTGGATATTCAGCAAATTGATATGCAGTGCTTCTCAATGATGGTTTCAGAACATTTCACCCTCACCATCAACTCAGTTTCTAGTTATATTATAACTCACCCTATCCTTCAAGAGACAATAAAACACAGCATATTAAGTAAGTGGTCCAGGTGCTGTCAACTAATGAAGCAAACACATTTCTGATAAAGGTACCTACTATTTTATACACTCATATGTCACTCACATGACGTTTCAGTGGTCATAGAAGGCTTTTAAGTTCAACCTTCGCATTCACCAGTAGCAAAAGGAGAGACTCAACAGCTGACTCGACTGATATACAGAGAAGTTTTAACTAGGTCCTTAAATGGCCTAAGTCCTTCACCAGAACTAATACAGAACTAATATCTGTAAGTATTACTCCACTACATCTTTATAAATGCCAGCACTGCCCATACCAGCACAAAGAATTCTCAAGCAAAAATTCCTTACTCCATCACAGGTGTGAATATGGACATCAAAATCAAAGGTTTGATCTCTGCTGATTGGAGAGACAGTAGCCAGAAGCAACTCACCTCAAGTCTATGCAGATATACTATATGTTTCTGATGAAACATATAATACATAAAATACTTAGTATTATATATATTAAAACACCTGCATAGGAATAAAGAATATAGCTTACTGGTTTTCTAGCCACTGTCCAAGTTTAAAGCAATCCACCTTGATGTCATATCTGAAAAAGTAATTTCTTCCAGTCTCAGGGGATCAGAATTTTGGACTTCCTGAAGAATGAAGTTAAAAATGCCATTCTTCCCCTAGGAACTCAAGTTTCAGAACAGGAAATATCTCTCAGATGCCTTCAAACAGCTTGATAGCATTTTCAAGGGGGCTTTCATCAAGGTTTGCAAGAGTGATCTAAGATCTACTGCCTATCCCAACTCCTGCACCTCGGGCATCTCTAAACTTCCTAAACTGAAGCTGTTTCCCTTGTCAGTAACCATACAAAATGGGTGATTTGTAAAACTTGGCATTAAATGTGATTTTTTTTGCTTCTATGAGTACAGATAACATATTTTTCCAGTTAGCAATATTTCATTTAGATATATTTCTTAATATTCTTAATTATGACTCTCAAGTTATGCTGGAAAATGGTGAATCAACACTACTTACATTACATTTGCTGTGCGCCAAATTAGCTTAGGTAGAAATTGATGAAAATTCATGTACTCAAAAACTGCTTAAAATTACTACAAATATTGAATATATAAATAATTTTGATGAGATTTTTGCATTTTCAAGTAGTTATCTTTAATTAGTTATCTTTTTTCCCTCAAGTCACTCCTTTTCTAAATGTGTGTTTTAAGTATTGAAAAACACTTCCACTTAAACCCACACCACTTCAAATTAGATGTATATGCAAACTGAAGGGATCATAAGATCTTCCCCGTAAAAAAGCAAAATTTGGACTAACTGGTTAAGCCATGAAGATAAAGCATTTGTATACAGTAAAATGGTATTTTCCCTTTGACAGCTTCAAATATCTGTTTTAAATTTCGTCTTTTTTTAAAAAAAGAAAATGCAATATTTAAAAACTATGAGAAGTACACATTAACTTCATTTCAGAATTATATCATAGCACATCCTGATGGAGGCTGTCATGGATACGGAATAAAACCATTCAGATTTACCCATGGCAATTTTCTATTCCAGCTTAGAGCCTTATTCATAGGAGCTTCTGGTTTTGTCTGTGGTTTTAGTAAGTCAGAATAACCCATCGTTTCAAGCTGTACTTCACCTTCTCTCAAAGTAAGAGTCTCTTCAGAAACAAAATTATGAGCTTACTATTCACAGAAAAAAAAAGGACAGCATTATCTTCTATCTTTTTAATCACAGCTCTGCCAAATTAATTTGTCAAAGGGAAAACAGTTGGAAACAGCTTTGAAAAAGATTCATTGCAAACCTGCTCTTCTGAGTATATTAACACACTTCTCCCCCATGATAGGGAGACACCACATTAACCCTTTTTCATTGAGATCTTTGAGTGTTGAAATATTTTTCTCTTTCCATAAAAAATGTTCAAGAATATCACAATTGTGAGGAAAAATCTGCCATTGCCCCCTGTGGTCAGTGAAACCATAGTTCAGCTCAATCAAAAGTTGCTCATCTAATGCAGTCCCTCAATATAGTGACTTTCAAGAGAAAGCATTCACAGTACTGAAAAAAGCCCTTAGATTTCATGACAATTACAACAGTAAGGGAATAAAAAAAATTGAAAACCTGGATTTGTTTGGGAAAATAGGGTTTGATCAAAACACTCAGGAAAAAAATTCAGCAAAACAATAAAATAAAATCAAACAGTCTTCTGATTAATAACAAACTATTTTCTTGTGAGACTGGAAAGGTCATTATTATCTTCAGGTCATCAGCTACAGACATTTAGAATAATGAAGTTTATTTTCTATTACTACCAAATTACTATCTGACTTCATAGAATCATTAAGATCTTAAACCACAGAAATATAAAATGAAGCCACAAGCTGTACAAGTAAAAACACATTTTATGTCTTTACATCCTCTTTGTGGCTTTATATCTTCTACATATCTCAATATATCAGCATTCTGAATATTTTTTTCTGAAGAGGCATTCAGATAAAATAAAATCCAGGTCCATGGTCAACTGTGTAACTTAAGGCATATTTTACCTCAGCTACCACCTGAGCAAGAAGTTGTTGCATTCTAGTGATAAAACCACATATAATCATGTAACTCAACTGGAAACCACACAGTTGGAGTTTGATGACTTTCAAGAACACGTCTGCTTCCAGGATGTGTGTATACTGTTTCACGTTTTTCCTTTGAAAAAAGGAAGTTTTATACAACTGTAATAGTGTACCATTGTGCACCAGCAGCTTAGCTTTTCAGAACCACCCACTGTTGCTACCACTTAAGCTATGATACTAATTACCTGCTGAAAGGTGCAGGCCATTACTTACAGCTGACCCATTTATCATTGTTAGGGAATGGCTGGGAGAACAATATTGCAAACGGATCCTGACCTGGCCTCATGGATCCCACCTCATGGCAGAGGACTTCAACCTTCAAACGTCTCTTCCAACCCAAACTATTCTATTGTTCTGTGAACTTATTTTCTCATCTTTCTCAAAGCTAGGCAATAAATATGCAAAGAACTCTCAAAGTATAGTATCTAATCCATAGATTGAGTTCACAGTCATTATAAGGGACAGAATGAAAGTTCTTGGGCATTTTAGTTTTTAAGGCACTGGGCAGCTGGGATGAACCAAAATCTTCAGTTACTTTGCCAGAGTATGCTTTCAAGATTTTTCCTAGACCTCAACAAAAAGAAAATAAAAGACTATCTGACGATCAATAGTGTACAGCCTTGCGTAACTGAGGTGACCAGTTATATGTCTAAATACTACATGGCATTTCCAGTGAACAAGTATTTATATATTTCAGTAAAAACATGAGAGAGTTTATACATCTCGATGGGACCTACAAGGCCCTCAACTTTCTCCATGAAACAGCATTCATGAAGTTAAAAGTAAAAGGCTGTGACTGCCAGCAGCCAAGAAAACAC